AAATTTCCAGGAAGAGGCCTTTATTTTATTTTATTTTTTTTTGCTTTTACTTTAAACCACTTAAACTATTTTAAAACAATCTGAAAATAATATTTAAATAATTATGCTTAATAGTACAATTATATACACACACTGATGTATTAATATACATATATATGCATATGTGCATATATAAGCACTAATTCCTAAGTGGGAGAATTTGTTAATTAATCACCCTTAGCAGCAAAATAGCTTCCCATTAGTCAAGCCTCAGGTTAATTAATTCACCAGATGATGAGTGATGTAAGTCCTAGTGCTTTCTTCCTAACTACTTACTATTCCATCCAGAAGACCTGCTCAGTGTATCTCTCACTCTACAGCCTGCTTTCTGCCCCTGAGGAGGCTGACTTTTAGCACTCGATCTGATAACAATTTTCTTGGAATAAAAGATACTGAACGTAATCTTTTTTTGACACAGATCTATTGAAAGTTGGTGAGAACAGTGGGACCATTTAGGATTGAACAAATGAACACCTTAAGGAGCAGCTACAGCCTGCTTTTTAGGTTGAGGATTTCTTATAAATAATAGCAACCAAACATCCCAGGCAGTAAAGTCTGTATCACTGCAGGCATGACATTCCCATCAGATCCACTGAAGTGAGTCACTGAAATTTCTTTTAAGGTAATTTTTAGGTAATATAAATGTCTGACCTTGTATCAGTAACTCCATTTGTGCCCTTGGCTGAGTCATTTAGCAACTCACTCCCAACTGCTTAAGGAGCATGTAGGGAAGATCCAAACCAAAACTGTAAACATCAACTTTCAAATCTAGCTGACAGCTTATCCCCAAACTCCAAATTCATATATCTATTTATTCAGCATCTACACTTGGATGTAATGGTAGTAAGAATTTTAGGATCATTCCCATGACCTTCACCCTTTTATCCTCTTCTGCTTCCAATGTTACTCCTTTGATTATGTTCTTGTATGATAAAAAGAAAGATTATCTGAGTGAAACTAATCAAATTACAAGATCTTTAAATGCAGAGAGATTTCTCAAGCTTTCAGCAGAAGAAGACACATGGTGAAGCCAGAGAGATTTGAGTCAAGACAAGAATTTGATGGATCATTACTGTGATAAAGATGGAGGGGCCATAAACAATGACCAGAGAGTGACCCCTTTTATAATAGCCAGCAAGGATATAGAGACCTCAATCCGACAACCACAAGGAACTGAGTTTTGTCAACAACTGGAATGAACCTGGAAATAGATTCTTTCTCAGAACCTAGAGATAAGACGCCAGTTTGGATAGGTCCTTGATTTTGAGATTTGAAACTATAAGCAGAGAACACATCTGGACT